GGGAGGCGGAGGCAGGAGACTCGCTTGAGCCCAGGAGTTGGAGGTTGCTGTGAGCTGTAATGCCACGGCACTCTACCCAGGGGGACAGCTTGAGACTCTGTCTCAAAAAAAACAAAACAAAACAAAAAAAAAAACTCCAATCTTATAGGTTCTCATCAATGATAATGTAGGCCATACAACCTAAGTCTTAGATTTTATGTGCTTTCACTTTTCTCCAGAACTTTACAGTCTAAAATTAGTTTAGGGGCTGACCACAATGACTCACGCCTGTAATCCCAGCACTTGGGAGGCTGAGGTGGATGGATTGCATGACCTCACAGGTTCAAGACCAACCTGAGTCAGAGTGAGACCTCGTCCCTAAAAAATAGCCAGACATTGTGGCAGGTGCCTGTAGTCCCAGCTAGTCAGGAGGCTAAGGCAAGAAAATCACCTAAGCCCAGGAGTTGGATGTTGCTGTGAGCTGTAATGCCACAGCACTCTACCCAGGGCAACACCTTGAAGCTCTGTCTCAAAAAAAAAAAAAAAAATCATCTCCTATAGGCTGGGTACGGTGGCTCACACCTGTAACCCTAACACTCTTGGAGGCCAAGGCTGGTCAGAAGTCTGAGACTAGCATGAGCAAGAGTGAGACCCTGTCTCTACTAAAAATAGAAAAACTGGCTTGGCTTGGCATTGTGGCAGAAGCTTGTAGTCCCCACTACTTAGGGGGAAGCAAAGGGATCACCTGAGTCCAAGAGTTTGAGGTTGCTGTGAGCTAGACTGATGCCATGGTACTCTACTCAAGGACACAGAATCTGTCAAAAAATAAAAAAGAAAGGAAGGCTCCTATAAGGGGCCTGGAAATTGTAAAAAACAAACTGGGCACAGTGGCTCACACCTGTACCCCTAGCACTGTAGGAGGCTAAGACAAAAGGATCACTTGAGCTGAGGAGCTCAGGAGTTCAAGATCCAGCTTCAATAAGAACAAGAACCCATTTCTACCAAAAGCAGAAAAATTTGCGGGGTTGTGGGCACCTGTAGTCCCAGCTACTTGGGAGGCTGAGGCAGGAGGATCATTTGAACCCAGGATTTTGAGGTTGCTGTGAGCTATGCAACAGATTTAGACCCTGTCTCAAAAGAAAAAAAAAAAAGTGATGCACAGCAGGCATAGAAATCACTTTTCTGGCTCAGTGCCTGTGGCTCTAGTGGCTAACGCGCCGGCCACATACACCTAAGGTGGCGGGTTCGAATCCAGCCCGGGCCCGCCAAAGAACAATGATGGCTGCAACCAAAAAATAGCTAGGCGTTGTGGCAGACACTTGTGGTCCCAGCTACTTGGGAGGCTGAGGCAGGAGACTCACTTGAGCCCAGGAGTTGGAG